TTCATCTAAGATAAGTAAATAAGGTTAGATTTATTTAATTGCATAATAGAAATTTCACATATATTTGGTCAAAATTTATTATATGTTCAGGTTTAGATACTATAATGATTTATTGATGGATACAAATTATTGAAGTGTTATATTTCTATTACTTTGAAATTTTTTTATAAATTTTGCTCAGCGCTGACCGTACCATTGGGTTTTTATGATTTCCTTCCAGGCCCAGTGGCAATTATAACCCAAACCAGTTCACCTGGTTCAGTTCTTCCACACATGAAGTCACCCCGCTCCCTTTCGTGAACTGAAGTCAAGCTGTCTTCTTCCTTCCAATCAAATCTAGTAGCTCCCCTATTCATAGGCTAGTGACACCACATAAAACTAAACTGAGCAAGCTGCAATCCTCTCTCCCTCTAATTGAGATTTCATTTCTATTTGATAGATTCTCCGCCTCGCTGCTTTTCTCTTGCCATTTAATTTATTTTGGAGAGCTGGGGCATCATTTTTTTACTCCTCTTTTCTCCCTCTCAACAGCAGTCAAACTCTCCTTTCTCTTCCTTCTTCATTTCTTCCTTGCAATAGTAGCTCTCGACAAACTCCTTTCCATGTACAATAAGTTTTTCCTCCCCTTCCCTCTTACTTATCTCCTTCTCTTTGCTATGTTTCTAGTAATCTATGTAAAAGATCTTTGAACTTCTATTGTGAGGCTAAATTTAATTTGTATTATATTTCACATCGTCCTAAGCTTCTCATAGGAGTGTTATATTGCTTTGGAGAGATAGTTTTATCTAAGCTTGATGTTCTCTTAATCAAACCCTAGGTTATATTTTTAGATCGTATTATTTCATAAATAATTTTGGCATTCATAGCATAATTAAGATTGGTTAGAATAATCTACTTTATTCCTCGATGAATATGCTTAATATTATTTTGGTTTTGCTACTTATAGGATTATTGCTTGGTGGAGTCAAGCGAGCTTATATCAAAGTTAGAGTTTATGGCAACCACTATGAGTAGCTATTATTTATTTTTAGGATAAACATACCTTTCTTAGTCAGGGATGTTATTCTTGATTCTTATGCAAGAACTTTTGATGTTAAATGGCTGCTTCTGTTATTATAGTTTTCTGTTAATTTGAAAATTTTCCAAAAATGAATTAGGAAGATTCATAAATAGCCATTTTTGAATTATTATTATTATATAAATTCTTGTACATCAATTTGTTTCTTTTGTATTTTCATACACATACTTTATTGAATGAAATGGATGATTACATTGGCCAATCATATCTATGAAATAATGTTGATCATATTGAAACTATAAAACGTATTAAAAAGTCCCTATGAAATTTTAGAAAAATTATATAATTTTGTGCATTGATGAGTATATCGGTAAAACCCTATTGGTTATTGAATAGTCAGAGCTGACAATCCCAATAGTGATGACTCTATAGGAAATCATTGGATTTCCTTAGGTAGGTGTTTACCTTCCCGGTGATAGGTATTTAATAGATTGATGGTAGTTATTTACATATGAAGGTTTTAATATATAATTATATATGAATTAAAACAAAGAGATGACTTACATGTCATTGTGATGTACAAGGATATCTAGGGTGGTGCATTTATAAACATCATAGTAATTTGACATCAGTAGCTAATTGGTATATATACATACATATCAAAATATGTTGTAGAAAACATGTCATATCTCATGGTTATTTTTGATATTGGTATTATAGATTACCACTCTTCTATTTTGGTTGTTTATACTGCATGCCCCACTCCTTTGCCATTTATGCATTAATAAATAAGAGTTACTTGTTGAGGCTGATTTATCAAACTCACACATTATCTTTTTTAGCAAGTCCTGCAGGTGTGTTTGGTGGACCGCTACCTTAGGAGCAGGGTTACCAGTAGTAGACTATTTTTGGTATTTATTATTTTATAGTAGTTTATTATGTTTATGTTTTATGTGGGTTTGATAGTTTCTTTTCTACTTTTTGTTCTATTTATATTATTGTTGGCTTGTATCAAAATTCTTGTTATTTGGATGTACTAGTTTTTTGAACTTCTATTATTGGATTGGCTCTTTATGTCACTTCCTCTATATATATGTTGTATCTCTTGTATGTATATGCTTCTCTTTGTGAATACAAAAAAGTCTTTCTATACCTTCATCATGCCCCATGCTACCAAGTGAATCGCCTTCTGAATCCAGGATGTGACAGTGGAGTGGTGTGACACTTATCTCTTGGAGCATAAAAAAGCAACCAACTGTAGCTAGATCATCCACTAAAGTTGAATATCATGCCCTTGCATTTGAGAATAAAGAATGAACTTTTATGCATTTTAATATTTTCATCTTCATTGATTGAAACTAGCATACAAGTTTCTTGTGCATGCTTATAGTTTCTTAATAACTAATTCTCTTCTTTTCTGCATTTGAAAGTGAGGATACAATATGACAATGTTATTCTTGATTTGGCTTTGGTGTTATGTTATGTGATTTAATTATGAACTAAGATAGAAAATTCATGAATAATAAATCTATTTTAGCTCTTTGATAAATATCTTAATATTCTTATACATGTTCATTGTATTTCTTAGTGGCGGTGTTATCAATCTTGATTTTCTTGCTCTATATATGGTGAATGTGAATTTTTCTGCCAAATTCATAGCTTGTTCCTTCAGAATTCACAAGTTCTAGCTAGCTGCACGGTGAATTTGAAACTTCAAATCTAAATTGGTTCTAGAATGCAGAGACTTTTGATGAATCTCTAGAAGGATTGAGGGATGAATTCTAATGAAAATAGACTTATGGATCAAATACATTATACTCTAATGACCCTGTTATGATATCTTACAAGGTATATATATAGTTTTTCTTAAAATCAACATTTTGTACCACATTTTAAGGCTCAACATTATATATCTATCAATTCGATTGTTTTCTTATTTACAATGTGAATTTACGGTAATATTAGCATATGTTATTTCACTTCAATACTACTTACCTTATTCTTCAAGTCTTTTTCAATGGAGATTTTATCGGTATGTAATTTAGAATTTAATATTTATTTTATGACCCTATATCTCTTTTAATATTAATGAATTTTGAATTTTTTTTTTATGTTTTCATGATGCTTTGAATGGGCATCTCTTTTTGGTGTTTGAGAAGTTGTATTAAAAGCTGGGAAAAGTACTATTTCATATTAAAAAAAATAATAAATTTATTTTGAAAAAATCTAAAAATAAACCCTAAATTAAAACATAATCTTAAATTTTTGTGAAGAACAAAACAACTTTGAGAAAAATCAAAGCAGAGCTTAATTTAACGTGAATGCATAAACATGTTTATTAAAGATAGAATTAGATGTTAACATTTATAGGTTATTAAAAATTAACTTAATTTGACAATAATCTCGAAGCATATTTACTTGAAAACCATCAAAGCTCGTATTTCTATGAACTTATTATAAAATGAAATGTTTCGATGAGACAGACCCATCGACGCCAAAAATGATATGATTTAAGGGGAAATGAGTCAAGATTAGGCACTTGAAGTTTATTTGGAAACTTCAAGACCTTAATTGGAAGATAAAATGTTCTCTAAATCTTGCAGTCTTTTCTAGTCAAATTATGTTGCTTGATGAAACAAATCCATAGAGCCTAAGATTGCTTGGCCACCAACCCATGACTACGGTAATCTAACCATCACTTTTTGACTACAACACTCGATCGTGGTCACTTGAACATGATTTATTTTTCGACCACTATCACGCAACTATATTTCTCCAACTACAATTTCCCATCTGTGATCCTTTGGCCACCGTCAAATGAAAAATAAACTTCTCATGATTTAGTGCAAATGCTTATTTTTTCTGCCTATAGTGAATTGTAGCATTTTATCTATTGATAGATTAGAACATTTTGTTTCAAGATTGAAACTATAAATTTAGTTTACAAATAATGATCATTAATCACAATCTTACTAAGGCTTCATTTGGGATGACTTTTTAATTGCTTGTTTAAATGGAGTTTTAGTTAAAAAATTAAAAAAATTTAACTAAAACTCCATTTTAAGAAGCAATGAAAAAACCATCCCAAACATTGCTAACTCCTACACCTTCATGGTGATTAAAAAAAAGAACCAACAACTTGCAACATGCAAGGCTTTATATATATATATATATATAAAATAATTATTATAATGTAAAACCTGATAACGTAAGAGCAGTATAATTAACCAAATTATAATGTGTTGCCGAAATGATGTAGAAGGAAGCATAAAGAAGTGTTGTTTACTTTATTCCCTTAATAAAATCATATATTGTTAAAAGTCTAATGTACTATATTCCATTAATACATATTTGTTGAAGAGTGGTAAGTGAATAAATATTACTAAAACTGCAGTACTAAGCCATGCATAGGACTTCTAAGTTGACTAATTCTTTAGGATTAGTAGAAAAAGAGTTGCTCGCATAAGAGATGAGATAGTTGACTCTTTTTCCTCTTTTTTAGCCTTCTCTTGGAGCCTTTTTAACTCCTTTTCTATCAAGTGAGCAAGCTTTTGATGCTTAAAGACATCAAATAATGATAAATTATTTTCATAAGTAAAACTAACTAAAAAAATTTAGCGGTGTAACAAATGATCTTCAATATTTCAACTAAATTTATTGGACTTCATCTTCAACTGTAAAATTTATAGGGCAAGCAATTCTAATTTTATTCTTTAATTTACGAAATCATTAAAATGTATAGCTTCACATATTAATTATGGCATTCAATATTTTTTGTATAATTAGGTTTATTGAACTAGCTATTAACTTTGTGCAGAAAGAGGCTTTCAAACACAAACACAAATCACCAATGGCATCCATTAAACACATTCATATCAGTAAAAACAGCATGGAGGTAAGTTCAATTACAGCTTATTACCATTTGAACAAAAGCATCAATGATTTATTATTCATTTTGTCCTGGAAAATCAAGGGCATTCTACTTATACAATAGATTTGTATACAAGCAAGAAGAAAATATAAAGGAATCAGGTAAGCTGGCTGGCTTCATAATCCAGAAGAAGACTATCATAGCAGTTAAAGTCATCCAAGTGTCCCCACAAATTTGAGTCAGAAGGCAGCCAGGAAGCTAGTGGATCCTCAGTGCCCGAATCAGAACCAAGATGAGGAGGAAGACATTGCGAAAATGGAGAAGTTTGTTCATTAGGAAGAGATAGGGAAACTAGAAGAGGTTGTTCATGAGGAGGAGGACATTGGAAATTTTGAAATGGTCTTTCATGAGAGTGAGTATCTCGCTCCATCGGCATATTGAAATCAGCAAGATGACAAAAAATTTCATGGAAAAAGAAAGAAGTTTGTTCGTGAGGAGGAAGAAATTGGGCAAACGGAGAAGCTTGTTGATGAGAAGAAAGTTCCTGTTGCGAAGGAATTTCAAAATCAGTAGCAATATGAGAAGAAAGAGATCGGGGAAATGGATAAGCTTGTTGATGGAACTGTTGCAAAGCCATGGAACCGTTATACTCCGCCTGAAGCCGCTCCTCTTCCTCTTGACGTTGACGTTGGAGGAATTCTAGCCTCTCTCGAACCTCCTGTAATTTGATTTTCATGGCGTCCTTCTCTTCATGGAATGACTCCAAAGAAAACGAAGAATGTTGCTTAATTTTTCCCTTTCCTTCATAATCGCAAACAATGTAGCCGAGGTAGCGTTCTTTAATGCGAGAAAATTTAGGTGTATCCCTCTCGGGCCAGAAATCTATCATGTTGAGTTCCGGTGAAAATGAAGCAACCATAATATCAATGCCGCAAAGGACGGAGAGCTCCTCCGCTTTCTTCTTCAATCCTTTCAACCTCGTAGTGTATGTTGTGCGGCGAGCGCGTAAATCCTCTCTGTACTTAATCTCAAGTTTGGCGCGCCCCATGGCGATCTTTTCTTGCAGCAGGGGCAGAGCAGAGAAGCAGAGAAAGAAAAAGTTTTTGAAATTGCCGACCGTTGGGAAGCTGGTAAACGTTTGAAATCTTAAGGTTCGCTTCTCAGGTAGGAAGTTTTTATCTGTTTTTCTGGTTGATGCGTTAACGGATAGCTTCTATCAGGTTTTGAAATTGAAATTAAAATTAAAATTAAAATTTTAAAGTCCGTGCAATCAAATAAAAGTTTCAAATAATAATTTAATCAAAATTTAAATTATATGTATAATTTTAAACCATTTTAAAAGATACCTTCAAATCTGCGTTTAATACAAATTTGAATTAAATTTTAATTTAAAATGATTATTAAAAACTTCATAAAAAATATGTAAAATTATTGTTTTTTATTTAGCGTTAATAATGTATATCACTTTATATAATATCCATTTTTTTCAAATTCATCTGCCAAAAGATTATAATATAATCATTATTTATCAAATTAATTCTTTTAATATGAAATTCTATATAATATTAAAAATAATATTTTTTATTAATATTTTCTTAATTAATATTTATTTTATTTCTATATTTAATTATTTTATTGAATATTCACTTTAAAATCAATTTTTATTGTCAATCATCACCGAACTCTAGCACTGCCTATTGCTACTGGCCACTACTAATGCCAGCACCATCACTTAAACACCATTAGACTATTTCCACTGTTTAACTGCCAATTAATATCAGCACCACATAAATTAATTTATTCATTATTCAATAAAAATATATTTTTAGATATTTAAAAATATTTTATTCAAATCAAAGCATAAATAAAAATTCTTGAAAAAAGAGTTGATCCCAAACGGCCCTATAGATGTCTATATTGCAAAATTACTATATATATCAAAAAATTTTAAAATTCATTTCATGTGGATTATTATATGATCATTTTATTTTTAGATTAATTAATATTTTATGAAGTTATTACATAATATTATATCTAATATGTGTTACATTAGTAATGTCTTAATTCTATTTTTTACATTAGTTAAGGGCATAAAAATTTGCAATAGTATAGAGTGTTTAATATATTTGTTTAACATGAATGTCATGTTGCAACTTGTTTTCATAACAATGTTTTCATATCATGTGTGTTTTTTATGATTCCAAAATATTATTATATTGATTATTATTTCTCCTAACATATATTGAAAATATTGCTTTTGTTGTTTGTTGTACTAACGTTTCAGGGAAATCATACTCCAGATAGTTGAAGACTTCAAGAAAGATTAGACTAGAATTAATTGTATTTGAAGTCTGTACTTTTTAAACTTTTCTTGAGATTGAGATTGTGATTGTAATTAGGTAACCGTATACACACACACTAGGGAGTGTAAAAATTATAATCTTTTAAAACTAATCGTATTGTAAGATTTTGGATCGTACATGATGATTTGACATGAGCGTTCCTTCATAAAGCAATTAATTAAACCATGCCAAGAAAATTTTCAAAGTCATGATCGTACTATACAAAGTTATCTTCGTACAGACGACGTCAAGAGTACGAAATATATACGTACAAGTTCGTCCTAACGAACTCTTCATTTTTTGAACTATTCGTACCGTACAATCTTAGGTTCATACAAATGACGTTTAGAGTATGAAATATTTTCGTATCTATTCGTCCAAAAGAACAAGTGAATTTTTTGTACTGTTCGTACTATACGATCCTAGGGTCGTACAGACGACTTCTAGAGTATGAAATGGACTCATCCATTTTTGTACCAAACAAAACATGGTTTGATTAAAACATATAATATTGTACGATATGGGGTTCGTACAATATGTTATCCAGTGACAAAATCAATTTGTATTGAATCATACCGGATGAATCTATTAAATTTTTAATTGATCGTACTATACAATGTCAGTTCGTACATTGGTCAGTCAAAGTATGAAATCAGTTTTTATTAGATTGTACGAGCAAATTTTGAATTGTCCGTACGTACGATGTTCGAATGTTCTGTACAATCATGGATGATCAAAATTGAAATTTTTATTTTTTTGGATGATTTTTCGTCTCTTTCAAATATAAGGTCCTAAAAACTAACTGTGGATGAATGCTTCTTCATTTTTTCTTTTGAGAGCAAGTGTGAGAGTGCTTTGAGAGAGTGTTTGAGAGTGTGGAAAGAGATCTTGCAAGTGGAATTTGTGACGGGTTCACAAGGTTGCCCAAAGGTAGGATCTCTTTATAAGTTTTGTCGAATCTCTTCCTTACTTCTTTGAAGTTACTCGAGAGAAGATCAAAGGAGAAGATTCGGTTCTCTGCCGACGCTAGGAGGTTGTGAAAGGATGATGGTTCTCTACTGACACCATGAGGGTGTGAAAGGACGATGTTTTCTTGCAGACACTTGTAGAGTTCAAAAGAATAATGATACTCTACCGCACATGGGATTGGTAGAAGAGAGGTTATTTGTAAAGACTTCTCCATCTTGCTGTAGGATAAAAATGAGAGTCAATTTAGTAATAGTGCAATACCTGAAGAGGGAGTCTTCAGCGAGTGGACATAGGTCTAATTGGATTGAAACATTATAAATTTATGTGTTTTTTATTTCACGCTTTTTTTATTTTTTTTGTACGATTTATTTTTGTGGTTGAAAAGTTTTAGTTTGATAAAAAATTTTATTGTGCTAAAATTTTTAAATGGTTTTCTATAAAATTTCCAAGAGGTTTTTTAAAATGACCAATTCACCCCCGTCTTGGTTAGCATTGGAACAATTGCTTTAGGTTTAACAACCTATACAGACTTTCATGTCTGACACATATAGTGATAAAAATAACTTAAAAGAGATACTAGAGTTTCAACATGGGAAACCTAAAGCAAGGAAAATCACAAGGCCTAGCATAGTTGAAATGAATTCATTGGTATTTATTATTAAATACAAATTATACTCTTCTTCTTAATTGTGGAAGGAAAAGTATATAGTACGAGTTAGAAGAGACCCATGGCATGTGATCTCCCATTAAGAGATCATTTGATATCTATCTAATGATTTAATGTTTAAGAGACTACAGTCAAACGATGGTAGTAGGAGCATTAGAATCAAGCCACAATGGTCATGTGATTATTGTACGGTGATGGTGGTCAAGGATCATATTCGGGTAGTGATGTTTAGAGGGTCATAGTTGGAAGTGATAGTCGTAAGACCAACATTGGACTATAGTGATTCGAAGTTCATATTTGGGAGATTATGATTAGAGAATTATAATTGGGTGATAGTGGTCAAAGGACCATAGTTAGACGATGGTTAGAGGACCATAATCATAAGATGGTGGTTAGAGGTGGTTGACGAAATATAGTTAGGTGGTAATTATTAGAGGATTGTAGCCAAGTGGTAATCGTCAAAGGGTTGCAATCAAGGAATGTTGGTTGAAAGTCCATAGTCATGCGACAATGTTAGGAGTTGAATATTCGGGTGACTACAATTAAATGCATTAATTTTATTGTAAACTTATTTTTTATCTTAGTTTTATATTTTTATAAGCTTAAAAATAAAACCCTTTAACAAAGTCATACAAAGCCAGTTATAAAATACGAGACATTAATGTCACGTTCTAACTAATTAAATTATAATAACATTAGAAATTGCTTTTATTATTCTTATAAAAGTTTTATATATAACCATTCATGCTTCTTAACCAACTGATGTAGTGGTTCTTTGAGATGAAGAGGATGCAAAAAAAGAAGACCCAAATTGGGGGAACAAGCCAAGCTCAAAAGTTAATGATATTCTTCATCACTCCTTCCTACTACAATATGAGTATATATATCATGGCAAAGGAAGATTCTAGAAGCAAGAAGGTATGTTAATCCCTAAGTTGATTATAACTAAGATGTTCTATGTCATACTCCCCTTGCGTTAGAAGAGCTCAACTCCATTTAGACACATCATCAAGACGGAGGTAGATGTGGCAATTATCTTGGGTCAAAAATTTTGTGTCTTCTATGCATACTTGCAAGGATTCATGTCATAATTATTCGACAACTTTTATATTGGTTATCAACTACCTAACACAACCCTCCACTTTTCTCAGCACACAATGGAGAAAAAGGATTCATATAGCCCACCCCACATAGTGGGATAAAGGATTAATGTTGTGGAAAGCTCATTCCTTAGCCGAATGAGCTCCTTCGCAACTCCACAAGTTTGCATACCGCCATCAGTATAAATAAAAACATATTTAGCCCTTGAAATGAATTACTTATCCTAAATATAATCGCATAGTAAGGTATTGATTCCATCCCCAAACCATTTGAGGCAGCTGGTTGTTGTTGAACTCACCAATCAAGGCTTTCCATGATAAAAGATTCTTCTCAATCATTTCCATTGTTTAAGCTAGAAGTAAAGGAGGCAAGTGTTGTTGGGAGTAATTTGGATTCTATCATTATTATAGCATAACCTTATCAATAGCTTAAAGGCCTTATAAGCAAGTGTATTATGAGAATATCTAGATATCATTACATTCCATCTTTCTTCAAGAGAAGCACCTTCATGGACATGTAGGCTCTAATGGCATCCAAGGTTCTTCCTTGTTGAAAAAACTTCCTTTACACCTAAAGCACTTCCATGTACACGGTATGAGTTTGCCTTGTTAGGTAGCCATACCCAATTGTAGTTGCGATCTTGATCAATGTGGGCTTGACTTTGACAACCTTCTCTTCCTTTCAGCCTGATTGTCATCGTAGCCAGTGTTGCCACTCTTCACGCGAATATTATGCCAACCAAGGATATCAAAAAGGCCATTCACATCTTCAGTAAATGCAATCTCAGTTTCTCCATTAAATTGATATGATTATCATCATAGAAAACAACCAATTTTCTTCGATTCTAATGCCGATAAGATCAATATTAATTAATTAATAATTGAATATTTAATTGAGTAATGAGATCATTAATAATATAAAAATTATTAAAATAAAATTAAAAAAAAATCGTTAAATAATCAATAGTGT